TATATATATATATCTTTACAGGAACACTTCTATATGATCTTGACCAATCATCTTAAAAAATATCTATATTCTGCAGCTTGTTAATATCTTTTGTACATATCCTTTTTTCTTCTTGGTGAATTTTTTCTTGCAGCGAGTAATCAAGAGCGCACCTCGAAAATACTTTCCTGTTACGAAACTTACGCGAAGGTTCATTGAACGATAAAAACAGACGTATGGTATAATGACGATAATTAATTTACGTAGCCAGGGTGTGGAAGAGGTGCGTGCGTCATTAAAGTTTCGAAGGACTTTTTCGCGATAGCCTTTTTCTTCTTAACGATCGGTACTTACGTAGTTAGCGTGATTTATATGCCACTAGTTCTTCCATGCAATAAAGTTTAACTCGCGAATTCAAACGTTAAATCGCGTTTTCCAACTAATTATGTTATTTATCTTTAATAGTATTTACGATAAATAAACTTTTTATTTAGATCTAATTTGATTGAAGGGTTTTTCTTTTCACTTTTTTTTAAGTACAAATTACATTTTCGATAATCAATGATCACATTCTCTTTTTAACTTTTTTTTTTTCAAATTTTAGCCACATATTGAAAGTTTAATTTTCCGCAAATATCAATGACTGTTGGTGTAAACAACTTTAATTCGCATCTCGATGGCGATCATTTAAACTATATTGCGACTGAATGTGGGAGTATCGTTGAGTATATACACTCCATCACTTCATCATGCGTCGAAGATCATCGAGTAATATCGAAAATAATTGAGGGGAATTACTCGCTGCAATGAGTTTGCACGCGCCGCTCGTTAAGGCTTTGTCTGTCAATCTCACATGCGTTTGCACACTGCATGTCCACCTTTCCAAACCTATTTCCTGCAAACGTCCCCTCCGCGCACAATGCGGATTATAATTTGCAAAAGAGCGTCCGCGGCTCGCTCGTTTTTCGCTAAATGAAGACTTTGAACGAGCGGAAAAACTGAGGACGCTCAATTGCTTCTCTGCCGAGGATGATCAAAGAGGCGTCACCCGGAAAAAAAAAATTCCATTTCATCCAACTGCTCTTTGACTGATTAGAAGATTAAAACGCGACTGTTGGATCAACGCGGTTTGTCGGTCATGTCGTGGTGATCGCGCGCATTTTTTTTTGTTGAAGATTAAAAATCGTTGTAGAATGTAGACACTTTATCTTTTTTTTTTTTTTTTAACTTTTTATCATTCCGAATTTTTAGGAGCAAGCATTCGCGTCGAACGTCAATCGTTCGTTCATTTTAACGTTATGAAATTGGACATGGCGTTGGCAGGAATGAAAAATTTGAATACGGACGAAAATCAATCTTCGAAGCCTGTTACATCGATGCACACCTCGGTCGCGAAATCGGATTTGTCAAGTCCCAATATCTATATATATTGTGTGTATGTATATATATATATATATATATATATTATATATACATATATATATATATATATATTACATTTCTTATGAATTTTAATGTAAAGATCGTGTTTAATTTATAACCTGAAGCAGATTATAGAGAAGGAAATGACTTATATTTTATCTCGAATTCGTGCAACGTCACGCCAGGCATAAACAAATTTTTTTTTTTCAAAATCAATATAAAGTTATACTTCGTAAAACGTTCGTATAATTTCAGGAATGAATTTTGTTTACGGAGAAATAACGAAAACGGTTGATAGAAATAACTCAAACACAAATATATTTATCCTATCTGATTTGTTTTCGAGTTACGGTAGTTTCTTTGAGTTTCAGTAATTTTTGGCATGTACTAGATCTCGTTGTTTATCGTATTTTTTTGTTCTGACCTCAAATATCTTATATTGTCTATTTGTAAATACTTTCATGACGTTTTGGGAAATTTGTTTTTTTTATAAAAGCAATCGATAGTTTCCGACACACACAATTCGATGATAATTTATATTTGCAATGATAATATATAGGGATGCAAAATGTTGGACGATAAATGATTACACTTAACGAAAATTTATGACATAGAAATATATGTATATTTTTACTGAATTCAATATTGACAAGAGATATGTAACGCACAGTTTTATCCCGATAAACATTTGCCAGATATACATATTTCAAATAATAATCGTTTTTCATTACTTATTTTTTCATGAATTTGAAGGCAATATTAAAGAATCTTAAACAAAGTTAAACAGAACGAATGCGCATTTTTTTATCATTACCAGTACGTTGAATTTACTCCTGAAATTACGCTCGCATTTTACTAAATGCGTATGTGCTGTAATAGTGCTTTCGTAATGTTCTTCATTCCTGACAGAGTATAGTCAAAACGAACCGCGAATTCGCATTCCATAAAGTCGACAAATTTTTTTTCTCCGTGTCTTTTAAAACAAGATTATTACTTACTCAAGTTAAATAGACTTTTAACAACGATCTTCCCCAACGAAGATAATAGAAGCGAGCTACTTGTAAAACTAATTCCATTGCGAATGCTACTGTGCGGATGCAATATAAAGCAATCAACTTTTTCTCGGCATAATTTATGATCTTCGCGCATAAAACAAACTTCGTTCGCATAATCGGGGGAGGACAAAGTTTATCGCCTCTGTCATCCTCCATTATCCTACAAAGCGAGGATTATCATATCCCAGAAGTAAATTTTCAATTTTATTCTCGAACAAAACGCAATGTTTAATATATGACGTCTATTAAACGAGCGTTGTACATTATTGAATCGGAAGATTAAAGGTTTTTTTTTTTTTTTTTTTTTTTTTGAAGTGACAGCTTTTAACCCTATTGTGAATGTCCCTATTGTATATTAAAGTCTTTATAAATAATTTGCGTGAAAAATATGGGCAAATGTCGAATTTACAAAATACGTTATTTTTTTTTAAAGGGGATATTTGTATACAAACGAAAGATGATATTTAATTTTCTTAAATAAAAATAATTGACGGCGCGAATTGTAACGTTAATTACACTTTACAGAGAAAAATCGTAAAATCAGAAATTCAGTAATCTCCCCACGGGCGCAATGGCGGACAGGCGGATAAACCGTTCATTACTCATTGGTGGTTTTTATTTTTTCCAGCGTTTACTACGACCCTTTCTTCGCGGCTCACGCAGCGACGCAGGATTCCAACTACAGGTTGCAGGTGAGACATTTCTCGATTTCTACTAATTCCCGCGAACAATTATTTCTCGCTTCCGGTGCACGCGACCGCAGAGAGAGCTGCGGCTACCGAGATACGAAGTACTCGAATGAGTTTTTAATTAAATCGAAGAACGCGCGTGGTTAAATGGAAACGGCGCGATAATCAATCACGTCGCGATCGCCGTCTGATAATCGGCTATTAATCGGAAAACAAACTCTTGCGAGCGTTTTCGCTATGTTGCGCTACGGATAAAACATAGAACGGACATAATTAATTGGGCAATCGGAAGATTATCGTTGGTGGAATCGATACGAACAAAGCGATTGGACGCAAGCTTGTAGCGGTATATCAACCATGCACGATTTGATAAAGCTTTGATATCTTTCATAAATTTCTTTCTACAGACAATTATTTAGAACAAAAACTTTGCCAGCGAATTGTCTAATTCTAAATATCTAAATAATTAAACATAAATATATTGAAATAAAATTATTCGCGTAATTAATAAAAAAAAATTAAGTTTATTACTATTAAATCTATGGTGTCAACTTAATTCAAGTTGCCACTGCTCCTACTTTAATATATCGTTATTTTTTTTATTAAAACAATGAATAAATTCGACAATATATAATGCCAAATTTATCTATTGTTTAAACAGTGGCGAACTTAAATAAAATTTAATACTATAGATTTAACAGCGATTATTTCTTTTCTGAAATTTATTTTTAAAAATTAATTTTTCATTGCATATTAAAATTATATCTCTATTTTTTGAAAATAAATTGACTACAAATAATTGTTATCACAAGCAAAATTAAACTCGATGATAAAATAAAAATATTTTTCATAATCATATCAATAATCGTGTAGTATTCATAAGACTGTAAGAAGCTCGTAACATCACAATTGTTGCGATGTTAACTGCAAGCTCGAAATATTCTCGACGATAAACGTGAAAGCGCAAACGGAAAACGCTTATTCGCACGTGCACCGGAAGCGGAATGCGGTGCAGTATCTATAAGACGAGACAAATGAGTGCAGAGATTTTGACTAAAGTCCGTAATCTCTTGGTGGACCCGTTTAGCTGGAATGGCCTCAAGCAACAGCTGACGTTAGTTGACACACATTTTGCCAGGCTTGCACACACGAGAGAACGCCAAAAGAGAGAAACCGATAACAATTACACCATCCCTATCTCGTGTTCTACATTGTCCCGATCATTCGCCATTCTCATTGTATCTCATTTTTCGCCTATCTGTTTCGTTCTTTCCCCCTCCCCCCTCTCTCTCTCTCTCTCTCTCTCTCTCTCTCTCTCTCTCTCTCTCTCTCTCTCTCTTTCTCTTGTTTCATTCACGTAAAAATCCCGATGCATCCGACGGCACGATTGATCGAAAACAGCGAGCACTGTTAACTATCGAGATGATTATTTTTGCTCCGATGATGCCGTCTCTCTGACACCATCCATTCCCGCGTGAATGGATTTTATATTCGATGTGTTGACTTTCCCTTTGAAAATTAACTTTTTGTCGAAAAACAATGTCGAATAATATTTACAACTATAACAAACGATTGTCGACGGCGAACACTTTAATTCTTTTGGCTCGAATCGCATTACTAAGAAATCGTTTTTTATAAGAAATTTAGTAATAGTGAAAAATACATCGAACATTAAAGAAATATTCAATGAACAAATAAAATCAAATTTTAAATTGGTTCAGCAAAAAAGCAATATAAAAAATATAATTTCTGCCACATATTTTTAGTAATATGCAATTATTTTTTTAACGTATATTAATAAAAATATCCAGATGAAACCTTTAACAGAAAAGAAAAAGAAGACAATCGATTTTTAAAAAGTTATACTTTTTAATATTAAACGTTTCGAACATTATATATAATTTACTATCGGATTAATTTGTGATTTTTTTTTTTAGGACCATCTCAAAATAAAATTCACTTTATGCGAATTTATACGAGAGTCCTCTCTGCTATCTCTCGATTGCGCGGCATCTTGTTGCATCTTGTTGCCTAAATACTTCTTCATACACTATTCCTTCTACCTTTGCATCATCTTTGTTCCCGTTTCTCTTTCTTTATATTAATTTTTCTCCTGTCATCTTTTATAGTTGTTTAAAGGGATGATTATTAACCGACGACATATAATCACGGGGACCAATGAAAGAAAAAGTGGATGGTAGATCACACTAAACGTCGATTGTACAGACTTTTGCGTTTGTATCGGGAAAGGGGGGAATTAACTTGCTTAAAACGAGGACTTAATTCCTTCGTGTAAAAACTCGAGCTCGAGTTTCCGCCGCCCGGTATCCTTCCGGAATTTCTTTTCAGGTTTGCCGTTTGTGTTTCAGGCTAAAGCGCCCGCCCTGGAGGTAGGAATTAAGGGTCCGCCTGTTCTTCTCTCGTCTTCTCCGTCTGTTTTATCTATACGCATCCCTCTTTTTCTTCTTCTGTTTTATTCAGTCTGTTCTCTCTTTGTTCTTTTCACGTTTTCGTTTGTTCGCAAGATTGAAGTGCTCACCGATTGTCGACGACTACTTAGTTAAACGTGTTTCCCAATCCACTTTTTGCTTAAAAAAAAAAAAAAATCCTCCCTTCCATGAAAATCTCGTTGTAACTTTTCCTGCGACGGAAGGTCGTTTAGGGGAGCTGTAGAAGAGTATTCAGCTGACGAGGTTTTTTTTCTCCTCCGATCATGTTGCGTTTCTTCTTTTTTTTTTCTTCTTTTTTGTGATCCTCGATTGATATTAGCGTGAAGACAGCATGTAATGTCGCCTTTTACAGTCAGTAGAGCATGCGTCGCACAGACATAGAAATACGTCGTAGGAGGCCTATACAAGTGGAGCAAACATTTTGTGATAAATGCACGCAATTAAGTGTGTCGTTTGGAGTTCCTCAAATTTGAGGGAGCTTTGTATTATTATGCGGGCCAGTAGACAAGTGGCATAGGCGGGTTTCGTGTGATTAGAAAGCTACGCTAAGGTAGATGGTAGCCGTACCAAATTCGTACTAATGGTGTTGTAGTTAAGTTAAGCACACCACGTGAAATATTTCTCGACAATCGACTGTAAAAAAAAAATAGGAATTTTTATTATCTAGTATAAAAATCCAAGACTTTTAAATATAACGATCAGAGATTCGTATTTCGAAAAGAATATTTCGATCGTGGAAAAAGATATTCTCAAATATGACTCATAATATTATTTTTTGCATTGCTGTATCATACATCGATATAAACATTCAAGCAAGTTCTATCCGGAAAAAGAATGAAGTATCTAAAAGTTAGATTACAGATCTGAAAATAATTTTGTTGAAGCATCAAAACAGATCAAACGTAAAAATACCAAGCACAATGTTACAAAAAGTCTTTTTAGTAATCAATTTAAAAGTCTTACATAATTATTTTGATTCGCAAATTATTAGATTATCAGATTAGATTGATTTTAGAATGAATCAATAAATGTATAATAGAGTTAAGACAATTTGTTAAGATACTGTAATAAATAAATTTTCACACATTTTAACAACTTGTGTTGGCTCTGGTAGGCATTTACATTTATTTTATTTATTTTAATCCCATAAAATTATTTTCAGATCTATGTCTAGATATAGATATTTCGGCAAAACTGTCATTTCCATAATAAAAACTTGTTTTGGAAATCAACAAAATCGATTTTGTTTAGCCTGCCGTTCTAAAGGAAATTTACACCGAAAATATAAAACCTGAACATATGTAGTTATATGATGTAGTTATAAACGCCGATAAATATCAAAGCAAAGACCATTTTGCGGTTCTGAATCATTGAGCAATGATCATTTGTTGGATGCATTATACACACGAGCAACTACTTTACGAGATCATCGCTGGCAGACACTTTAAAAGTCGACTTTCGATATTATGACATTATTGCGTAAATGCTTTGTTATGAATGTCGTAGAGTCAAAGTATATTGCTTCAGGAATTTTCATGTCCCTTGTGAAGAAATTTATTATGAATATATATCAAGAGATCGAAGCGTACATCGCGCCAGGAATTCTCGCTCAAATTCTGTAAGAGAAAATTCAACCTTAGGGGATGACGACGTTAAAATAACAGAAAACTATCATTCGCTATTCATAGAGAAATAACTAAACAAATCTTTAATCTTTATTTATGAACGTTAAAATTCAAGAATATGTCAAACTGCGCATAAAAATTGCAATATTGCTTTTTCATCGTTATCGTATAAATTGTAAGTTGCTTATCGAATGGAAACGGATATTAAATAAATTGTTACTTTATCGATAACGTATGAGTGTAAAAACGAGGTTAGTAACACGTAAAACAAATACACGTAAATAATAATCAAAAGCGATTCATGAAACGTTAAATGGCGCTAACGGAAAAAGCAGGATTCTCGTGTTCGATGAAAATTCGTGATCGGAAAGCGTGAAGAGTGTCTTCAAACGAGCTGAGTTATAAATTGTCCAGGCGTGTGCACTGAGAATTTTTTTTCCGGCTAATTTGAACGGGCTCAATCTGCAAATTTGACAGCTAACATCCCGGTCAGACGCGTGCTTTTTTCGTTGCCACCCACGTTTTCATTGATGAAGAAACCTCGTTTGTACGGAGAATTTACGAGCCGTCCACGTAACAGAGTCGGCCCAATTGCCAACCTCTTCTTCGACTTTGTTGAGAGACCGCCGTAAATCAACGTCATCGAGGAACACACGTCATATTACGACTGACGGGCTTATCCTAGCCAGATCCGCGAGGATATTCGCGTGTTAAATGTCAACGGCACACAGCGCGAAATGGACCCATATATTCTAGCTATTTATACGAATTTTCTGCATTTCCTCTTCTTTTGAGACGTTAATCGTAAAATTTAAATTTGAAAAGTACCAGAAAAAATATACAGATAATTGATAGAAAACGGGATATAAAAATAAGAAACAAATTATCGCGTAATAAATTATTTTAAACGTAATAAAAAATATAATCTTTACAAAATTATAGATACACGCGGAAAAAATAATTTTGTTGAAGCATCTAAATTTAGATAGAGCTGAAAATAATTTATTGAAAATAATTACTAATGAAAAACTCGAACATGATGAGTAATAATGTTATAAAAAGTTTTTCCATTCTAAGAATGCAATTCGTACATTCTATATAATCATTTCGGTAGACCAATAAAATTATTTTCAGATCTGTATCTATCTGAATTTTTTAATATTTTAGCAAAACCATTCTTTCCATATTTAGTCTGTTAAATCTGTAATTAGATTACAAAATGTCAAATCTAATTTTAAAAAAAGAAAAATCTTGCAATCGTATTCTATAAGTATTCCGTAGAAATTTGATTTTCAATGATAATTTGATAATTTTATTTCATTTTATTTTATTATGCAAGATAGATTGTTACCTCTGTATCTGTAAAAATATGAATAAATACTAATAAATACTTGTTAGTACAGTAAATGTGACCAGCAACTGAGCAATAAATCAGTTTTGAAAGTCGCGAAAGATTCCCGATAGGATTAAAATGTTTATTTAACTTTAGTTCGATAATTAGTTCGGCCGCACTGATTTAATTTGCGTATCTTTTTCGGGGAGATCGAAATGCCGTATCAACGAAGTATTTTGAAAGTTTTTTCGTTAGCTTAATTGAGGGCTCATCAGACTTACAGCAAGCTTTCCATCAGCGAATAATATAAGTCATACAGTTTGCTATAATTGGCAAAAGATGTTTCTTGCTTTCTTGTTATCCACCAGATGTTTTTACAGTCGCAAATAAAAATTAAGGCTTTCATCTTTAGCTTGTTAGTATATATCTTAACGTTAATAAAAGGTACATAAAGAAAGAAGAAACGAAAAGATGGAAAGTCGAAGTAATTCAAAGAAAAGCAGACTAGTCTTTCTTCAATTTTCTGCTCTATTCAATTATTAAAATCAATTAGACGTGCAGAAATGTAATTTTTATTATTACAACGTGAAATGTTTGCTAATACACGCGAAAAAAATGTTAAGATCAGTTCGTTAAAAATTTTATTCATAACAAAAGATACCAAATATGATTAAATAATATTTTAATAATAATAATTCAAAATAATAGATAGAATATTTGTTGTTCTCTCTTCTGTTCTAAAATTTTAAAGTTAATTAAAACAATTACATGATTATATCCTTTTTGCATTAGGAAAGATATCATTTTTCATGCATTTTTCGAAACGCTAAGTAAAACTTACTTTCCACGACTTTTTGTTAAAATTTAATTGTTAAGCGTTTCACCTGTACCGCAATGTAAACAGAGGTTTCGAGTCTGCGGTTGCACCATTTAACAAACCATTGTCGGACGGAAGATACGAGGCGTGAGAAAGGATGTGAAGCGACGCGAAAAAAAGTACTCGCGGAGTCCGACCACAACGAGGTGCTGAATCGTCGTAACTGCGAGATAAAAAGCTATAATCACCAGTTTCGCACGCGACAAGAGAACCATTTCTTGCCACGATCTCGACACTTCTGGTCGGTTGACCCCGGAAATTGGATTCGCGAGAAATTATTATCTCCTTGTTTCCGACGATATTTCGAAAGCGAATCATTGTGGTCGCACACGCCGAAGGGATTACGTAATTCTCACCTTAGTAAGATCGAATCATTGCGAGAAACGACGCAACTCTTTGACGGAATCTCCGCGTGTTTTGAACAGTTTGAGAACGAAATTTCATTCGAGAAAATTTGTGGAGCAACTTGGCGCCTCTCACTCCGCTTTCAATACGTCCTGTTTTCTTCCTGGTAGCAAAACAGCTCGTTCGCCGTTTCGCCTCCACCTACCCTTCTCCCCCCCCCCTCCCCCCCACTGCCTTTTTTCGTGACAAAACGTCGAATAACAACTCGTTCCTGACCGCTGAAAGTTTCTGGCGCCGACTAAATTGTGTTTTCGTCGCGATACGTGAACCGGTCAGCCAATTCACACTACTAGTCGCTATTTACAGGCCGTTATTTCTCCGCGATGTCAAAAATTATTGAACGCTTAATAACGCTGACAGAGTTACGAGCAGCTTCCGTTCAAAAATTGTATTTTTTGTATGCATTATTAAAACCTGAAGCCTGAAACATAATTGAAAAGCACAGAAAATAGGAACAGGGAATAATAGATTTCAACCCATCAGAATACACAGCTTCTGATAGATTGAAATCTGCTTTCCTATGTCTGTACAATTATGTCTTAAACTTCCGTTGCACATTATGCAAATATTTTTATTCTTTCCATGTAAATTTATTTGAACGATCCAACAATAGTATTTAATATTTAATAATAAAGTTAGAATTTTTACGTCTTTAAGTTTGAAAAAAAATACATCGTCGCTTCTTGTATTAATGTTGAAATAACGAAATGATAATTCATCTATTTAATATTTAACTGAAGCTTTGTCGAATAGCTAATACTAAATTACACATAAAAGTCACATCACTTTTCGAACTTTTAAATTTTCAAATACTTAAATGTTATCAAACTCTGAATTGATATTTTAAAACTATTTGAAAGCTTTTAATTTGATTACTTACAGCTTTTTGATATTTTTACTCGGTAAAAATTGATTTCAAATTTTGCAACAAATTGTAGGTTAATATGTTTTAAAATTGTTGGACTTTTTTCATATTATCGGTTTTTTATTAAGCTGGCAATAATTTATTTATTTGCGCGAGCAATGGACAATGCTCGGATTGTGACATTCTTTTACAACTCTGTGCGAGCAATTACCTAGATTTAATATCTACAAATTTTTGAAATATATTTCGCGTCTTTTTCTTTTATTAATAACGAAATAACGGATTTTACTTATTAGTACGGACAGTATAATAATGCTCGACGTTTCGAAATTATGACTGGAAGTGCTGTAATATTCCTTTTGCATCGTTCTTTGTGTTAATATTGTAGTAATAAAATGATAATTCTATTTAATATTTAATTGAAGTTTCGAATAGATCAACATTAAATTATACATAATATACATAATATATTAGCAATTACATGGAATAATTTACATAGAATACAGATTTATTAGTAAATATGTCTACACACTCAGCAATTTTTTTTATTATTAATTACTTTTTAATCTTATTTTTTAGTGTAAAATATTTAGTCACGTATAAATTTAATTAAAATCTATGAAAAAAACAAATTTTATCATTCATCTAGTATAAGATAGATGTAATGTTATTATGTATATGATTATTCTGCTCATTATTTATTTGTTTATATATATATATATATATATATGTATATATTCGGCTATAATTACTGTATAAATATTATTTATATAAGAATATACCCAACGTGTCTTCTGTAATATTGCACAAGATTACGTATAATAATATATTACAATAAATTAACGATGTGATCCGACAATCGAGCTTAAAACGCTGGGACTTAATCCTCCCAAGCTTTTAGGGAGCACTCATGACACGATAGTGTTCGAGCAAACTGCATTCGGGTTTAGGTCAAACGCGCGAATGGTAATGTCATGGAAATCGCGAGCATCTGAGTACGCTAGTGTTACGTTATCGCGTAATGGGATATATATACGTTGATGTATCGAATTGCATATCCTAGATGCATGCACGTAGGTCTTCCCGCCGTCATCCTGGCGCCAATGAATGTGCGCTCTCAACAGCCCTATCTTCATCGGGCATAAATCCTTTGATGCATCAAGCGAGATTTTGATGCTGCGTGTAAACATTTGTGAGGTTCACCGTATTTAAACATCGTAGGTATTTCCAAATACTATAGACGATCCTTTTGACGTGAGACTCACTCGAATGAGTTTATTTATTACCTCAGGTACAACAGCTACAACATGGTCGACACGCCAGAGAGACGAAAGTGATTATTTATCGTTATACTACTAGTATCAGGAATTTTCTTAACACTTTTTGCTCATCTCTACGTTTTATTATTGAAACTTCGTTTCATTCTGAATTACTTAGGTAAAAGTATTTTCGAATATATTACTTTGGAAGACACTTAGAATAGTTTTCTTTCCATCTGTTAGGCTTACATCGAGGTTGGAAAAAAAAGAGCTCAATAATTCGTCATCCCAATTCTTTCCTATTTCATATTATATTTGTAGTTTTCAAATCTTTTAACTTGCACCGTGGCTACTTTCATGAATCTCCATGTTGCATGAAATTTTTTTATTATGTCTCTCCATTTATATATTCGTTTTTTTTTTTAACTAAATTGTTTAATATGGAGCATAAAAAATATTTGTGTCGAAAAAATTTAGAATTATAATTTGACATTTCATTCGACATTTCAATGTGTACGAAAAAATAGTTTTGAAATTAGTAAACGATGAAAAATTTTTATTTTTAATATGTTTTTGTATTTTAGGTTTCATAATTAGAAAATGGAATGTTTGCATTATCGCAAAATATTCGATAATATAGCCGCTTGATGTCATAAAGAAATTGAATATCATCAGTTTCGACCAGATCATGTTCCTTGTAAATAAAACATCCCTCTCGAAGCTTGTATAAAATACAACTACGAGTGTCACAGTTAGTTATATGCTCGAAATGTTTGAATATCCATGCACTGACATTTTTAAAACAGCGAGAGAAATGTGATGCAAGGGATTTCGACAATATTTTTTAACTGGTATATATTCAAGCCTGAAAATGTCACTTGGCTGTTGCATCTCGCTGTTCTATTGATGTCGCAACGAACAACGCTGATGCGTTTCACGTAGTAATTGCACATAGAAAACGTTAGCAAACAAAATTAGTACATTTCATTTATTCCGACAGTTTATTACTTTCGAGACTTAAAATGAATATGAAATAAATTTTATTTTATAAAATAAATATGAAATAAACTTTAGAATATTAACTCTTAAAAATATATAACAAGATTTGATAAGACTGCAAAATATGTGCGCAATTGATTCTGTTAATGTTAAAATTATAATTGATATAATCCTAGTTATTTAAACATCTTGAAATATTTATTCATTGCATAACAAAAATTACACGTGCTGATGTAATCATTCATAGTTGTGTTCTATTCATGTATACCTGATATTTAAATTATTTCTAATTAAAACTCTTTTTTTTTTGTATACTTCTCTTCCGCATCTAGTAGACATTGATCAATTGAGGGTATTGGAAAAGAGTGCATTTATTTCAAATTTCTTATTTGTGTTTATTGGAGAATCGTTTATTGGATATCGTAGAAGTATTTGCAGATTTTATAGACAATGGCTGTAATTGAGTACATTTTCCCACTACTCCTTTTGTCGTATGCCTCTTTTTCAGCCGCAATTGACATTTTCCATTTAGAACTACAGATTAGAAAGCTACGTTTTCTGTGTGCAACGACACGAGCCTCTAGGAACGATCGTATTAGTATCGTTTCTCGCTGAGATCATCCTCTCTGTCTGTCTTCGAGCTTGCTTGAGCCTTGCATGGCGGGTCATGGTTGTTGTTTCAGGCCGCGGCAGCGGCAGCCGCAGCCTCACCGTTGTTGAAGACACCACTATCAACGGCACAGCAGGCTACGTACGCAGCTGCAGCAACCTACACGGCGGTGGCTGCGCGCGCATACGGCGCAGCTGCAGCTGCGGCACAACCGGTCGCAGGATATGCCGCAGTCGCGGGGTAAGTGCACCACATTTTCACCCGAGAAATCCTCCCCGTGTATGTACACTCACCACGAATTCTCTAGGATCTCCCTTCTCTTTCTCTTCCTCGCTCCCTCTTTCTCCTTCCCTCTCATTCGATGTACAGAACGTCCCAGATTTAGCGAGCCAGCTTCCGCCTACGGATTATTTAACAAAACTGGAGCCAATTTTTTTTTTTTTTTTGCGAAAGAGCACGTGTGTAACTTTTATATTTAATTATGTACCTATCGCTATTTCATTAAATATTCGTTGAGGCGAAGTACCTGCAAAATTCAAGAAATTGAAGAATTGTTCTGAATTGATTAAATGTGGTAAATTTAGAAACTTCTCGTACGATGCCAAAGATCTAGCCAAAGAGAAGAAAACTTTTCGAACGTGTTCCCTTTGTTCCTCTTAGAGAAAGGGAGCTTTGCAACTTTTCTTCGCGAACGTGCTTTTTTCTCAAGATTTTTTTTTTAATGATGCTTCATTTATTTGATATAAATTATTTATAAATTGTTATTTGACGCTTATTATATTGCTATATTATGTTTGGAGCATTATATAATGTTATATTATTATAATGTTTCTCTCTTATATGTACTTGCAAAATAATTAATATATATTAATATATATTAGTAATTAATATATTATTGGAATAATTATGTAATGTACACTTTGAAAAATACTTATGCAATTAGGAAAATATACGACAACTTAATAAATTAGAATTTATCATTATTAGATGGAATGTTCACATTTTTTGGTACAAGCATATCATAAGCTTATTATACTTTAACAACTCGTTTGGTTTATTCGAAATTACGACATGTTATCTTCATTATCGATATGAAGGACATGATTCTCTCATCATAGTTGTGGTCTGTATGCCGTCTCGTAGTGGCATGCAGATATACATGTATAGATTGAGGGACGCTTTGAAGTCACCGGCTCGACCCCATTACGAGAGTGAGGTCAGAATGCATATCATGTATTGAGCATCGCAATGAATTACCTTCATCTCACTATCCTTGATGATGTTCATTAGCAACATCCTCCTTTATATCTGCCAGCAACCTCCACGTTTTTCTCATTCCCCTTTCAGCATCACAAAATACTAATTCTCCAAGTGGAGAATTATCATTTATTAACAAAATTATAACACGAAGAGTCCATTCCTTGCAGCAAATCCCGACGTCGCGGACGACCTGTTAGGAGTCGCAGATTTGTTTCCGAAACTCAGACCCGTCCTGATAGTCCCGTCGAAAGTCCAAACCATTCCTCGAGAAGCATCACTCCCCAAGAAACCTTAAAGCGCGCTTAATGCACTTCGCGTCGATATCTTGCATCCAACACAAGAGGAATATCAAGTACAAATATGAGTATTAGAATCGATTTCATACCTAACGCGTTCCATACGTACGTAGCTTCCATTTCTCACTCTGAGTGAAATGTTTGGTATGTAAAATCATTTATATATATTTTTTTATATAATATGACTAATGAAAGCTTTCTTACTTCTTTATTAAAAAATTGTGTTGTTCTAATAAAATTTGATTACTCTAACTAAATTTTAATTAGAATACAATTTTTTAATGAAAAAGTAATAGTTATATATCAACAAAATAAATGGTTATACGTTCCAAACATTTCTCTCGGTGCAGAGTTTAGCTACGAGCAATTTTGTTAAAATCCTATATACAAGAAAGAATGATATATATATATATTATATATATACTATATTCTACTTTTATCTTATTCTATGATTTTAATTGAAGTTACTAAATAAGGAAAAAACAATTATTTTGTGGAAATATTTAAAAATTTAGTTTGATGTAGATCCGAAAATAATTTTGTTGGACTGGCAAAATAATTACGTAGGACATTCAAGCATAATGAGCAATGCTGCAAAAAGTTTTGACATTCTAACAAATTTGTGCCATGCGTTCTACATAATTATTTTAATGGTCTAACAAAATTATTGTGAAATTTGTATATTTACATGAAAGTTTTACCAAAATAATTCGAGTAGTTTTCAAAATTTTTGAAGAATAAATGAATTTTTTTCCTTTAATTTGAATACCTTTGAAACTAAGCTGTTTTGGACATGTGAATTTTTCGTTTTGATTTAATGTGAGGAATCATCCTTAAAATCTTTTAGAGTATTTAACTACCATCTTGTATACTTTTCTTTCTCATATAAAGATTTTAATAAAATCGCTCGTTGTCAGGATCTCTATACGTTTTGATTCCATACTTCCTCTTTCAATCTTCCTCACGGAAAACAGTGAGAGAAATCGGAAAAAAAAAAATGCGCGTATGAAATCGTTCGACTTCAGCGAATCGAAAAATCCTATCGTTATTAACAATCACTTTTTTATTGTTCTTCCAGCTACGGGCGTGAATACGCCGATCCCTACCTCGGACATGGCATCGGACCTGTGGCGGGTTACGGGGTAAGAAGGAGCTTCGATTACGAAGTGTACTTTTACGATTTCATTTAACGGTAGTGCCGTTAAATCGCGCACATAGATCTCTCGCGCGCGTATGGAAGGAGAATGGAGCACCCCGTTATTACACTATAAATAACAAGCGTTAGGAAAGACCACCTCGGCCGTGGCGCGTTTCACTCACATATGAATTATTAATGCCAGAAATTTTCAACTTACGGGAACTGTGTCGCGACAAAAGTTAATGGCTTGTGCTCCCATCGCACGCATTTATCCTCAAATGCGACTATTCGGACCTCCGCGCCATGCCGGTCTCAGTTTGCTCGGTGAACGCGAACCGTATTGTGTAAACGACAGGATGGTCAAACGAAATGGGTGTACGCCGTGCTCGTGAAGGAGTTTAATCATTCTCGACAAACTCAATTTAACGGGGCGAAAATTAAATAAGTTTTTAGCACAATCTCGTTGCTTTTCCGAATAGATGGTTCTGACGTTGCAACCGCAACGTTGCAACCGTAAATTGAAATCTTATATAAAACACCGCTTACTTTATTTGCTGTTTATCTTTGGACGGTGCATTTTTCAGCCCTCGAAATAAGATCTTGAGACAAACGGTTACATTCAGTGCTTCAATACATCAAATGCACCACGGTTTATACGTTAGTTTGCGCTATGTATCACATTGAGATGGTATCTTATGAATTTTTTTTCTTGCAGGCAACTGTATACAGAGGTGGCTACAATAGGTTCACGCCGTACTAAATGGATCATTAGTAGAACCCAAGAGCCTTCCAAGTTATACTCAGCAGAACATGACCAGACACGAGTCGACACAATCATCATCACCGTCATTTTTGTCATCGAGATCACCCACGACGAGCCTGGACCTTCCCACGCATGCTGATTCGCTGGTTTTACCTTCCAACTTTTTGTGACTCAACGTCATCGTGAAGATGCGAAATCCTCGATACAGAAATCGAAACAGAACTGTTATTAACGTGAAAAGCATCGTCGTGCTTTTCTACGTCAAATCTTTAAATAGTACCTTCGAAAATATGTAAGCGATAATTGAAATAAGCGAGAAAAATCTGTCTGTAAAAATGCAACAGCAGCGTCGAGGTCGGCGCATCAAAGTATCGAGTCGTGTTCGGCCGGAAATCGCCTTTAAAATTGCCTCTAAAGTCACTCCCCTGCCAGCAGCTATTCGCAGGGGGGAGTCTTCTACTTGATTCCGTTTCCATCTGATCAATTTTTGGTCCAAGTAAATTTTACTGAATTCCAAATATCAAAATTGATATAAAACTAATGGTAACTACTTCTCACGCTTTCGAATTTTACTCTGCACAAAATTATTTTCGATAATACCATCACGTTTCTCTATACTTGTCATATATTCTTCTTTAATACGATATCAAGCGTTTTAATCTTGCGAACAATTTTATGAGTCACTAAATGGAATATAATAGTAGTTATATTTCTTTCTCTCTCTCTTGTTTATAGTTTCTATAAAACGCATTCATGTTGTGATATTATGTCCGATACGATGCATGATTCATGCAGGTTTGCCTATTTACTGAAATACTTGTAATATAGCTGTATATTTGTTGTAATTATTTCTATTTAAGTCAACGTTGCACATTACGGTTTGCATTCATAGTCTAAATTAGCAGATAATGTTAATAATTCGAAAGGGCTGCCGAATCGCGCGCGCGAAGAAGCCCTAAACAATTCGCACAAATATCATAGGACAGTTTTACGCACATGATTTATTTAGATGAAAATAAAATAAGCAAATGCGCAATTATTGAATCATTACTGAAAAATGATATAATATACTTTGCTACAGTATAAAATATAATTTCTCTGCGAGAGAAATTATATTTTATACTGTATCATTGACGAATGGCAGCGAGGCATTGACGATTTCAGTCGACACGAACCGACACAAGGTGATCCGAAAAAGCGAGATCTTTAGGTAGCTAGTTTAAAAAAAAAAAAGAAAAACGACCTAGAAAGAAATAAAGGCATCCATGTGACCGGTAGGGTTTCTATGCCAAATATGTGTGTATGCGCTTTCGCGCGCGTGTGTATGCGTAGGTTTGCGAACCAAAACTGTTCTCAGTAAACTTAAAAGTAGCGGAAATGGAAGAAGACAGGGACAAGAACCGCTTAGCTGACCGCATATATGAAACAGTATACCGGATTTTAATTGCACAGAGTCTAATCGAATTGATTTTTTTAATTACAATAGCGCACTTGATTTCCATTTGTCTCCTACAATTCAATCAATGTCTCGTTCCTGAAATCTTATTCTGAAAAATTTCAACTATCTCATGTCTAATTATTTTTATAATTTTGTCATAACATGAATTGAATGCATCGTGTATCAAATAATAATAGAAGGATCCGCAAAAGAAAGACTGCAAAAAGAGATCCGTTTTAATTTTTATTCTTTGGAACTGAATTTGAGACCTGTAGACTCAGACAATGCCACATTATGTTGTTATTCGAAAAGTTCCGCACAGCAATTTTACGTATCCTTTCACGTATCATGTAAGAATAGAATGGCAAATACGGTCATATTGTCTTATCAATGCCTCTTCCCTCTTTTCCGAGAAAAATCCGATATCGAGTTTGATAATCCCCCTCCCCCCTCCTCTCCCCTTAGTATGTACTACTTATTTATTTAGTTAAGTGACTGAACGGACATGACAATTTTCTTTTTTTATCTACAGTAAACATTAAACAGAGTCCACCTCATAATCGCTAAGCGCAGAATCTCAACGCCAATGAACGAGAACATAGTTATAGTACATAAACAAAGATAGACTTGTAGAATATGTTTCTTGGTGTGAACCGATCTTGTAGGGAGTATCATGAATGCACTATACGCACGAAGCTCTATCCGCTACGCTAAAAGGAAAGAAGATCCGTTCGCTCAGGTCACTATTAACCGGCAAAAATCAATATTGTACAAACATCTCTAGCATGGACGTTGCATACTTAGCAGGTCGTTTCGGTTCCTCGATGTCGAAGTAACGCGCGTGCGTGCTTGTAAAACGAACTCGTCTTCATGTCACAAAGGATGATTAGGTCCAGCTAAATGAAATGTCGACCCAGTTGTAACGAAATACATCGAGTAATCGAAAACGCCGATACGGATAGACATTCAATAACGTGAAACCACCACTTTTTTTTTCTTTTTCTTTTTCGAATTTTTTTAGTTGCGATATACGGTAAATGATTGTATCTTGATGTAACCTGTGTATTAGGTAATTTTTGTATTTACATTTAAGGTTTTTTTAGAAATTTTTTGTTGAACACACGTGTCTTTTTATATAAATATATTTTTCGTTCTCTTGGGGAATTGTTAGTTTATTTATAGACTATTATTTTTATGATCAATCGCTGTTTATCTCGGTTTCTATTCAAATCGGCGTTCTCGGTCACTAGATTTTTTTCTTGTGACACTGCTTCCTGATCGAGTAGATATACCGGTGCGCTATATAGAAAGTAAAAGATGCTCTATTTGAGAGTAATGCGAAATGGAAAAAATGGTACGCACATTGAGTCGAATGAGTGATATCTCTGTTAAATTAATAGTTAAGCGAGGATTTATCGTATGTATTATACGTAAGAGTATAAGATACATTGCGCCACGATACAAGAATAAGAAGGCGTGTAATGCGAACTGATACAACTGAAAAGCGGAGAGTAAAAAAGAAAAGAAAAAGGAGGAAGGCAAGAGCAAGAAAATAAGCAGTGTGAAATAGCCAAATATGACAAAGATGTTTTAGAAAGTACGGCAAGTAGTTTGGCCGTCGTTACGTTTTAATCTAATCTTCAACTAGGATTATAGGTTAAGCTCTAGAACTCGAGGACGCTCGAGGCAGGATGACAATTTTCTCTTTTTTTTTCCTCTCGCGAACGTCGTGTACATGTACATAGATCAACATAGATTTTTCGAGCACAAAGATCGTGGAGGAGCGTGCCGAGGAACACACTATAATTTAGAAAGTACTTTAAACGAGCAAGCAGAAGAAGCCCACTCAGACATACTCATGATTCTCGTAACGTTAAATTAATGAACGTAGATTAATTAATTGATTACACAGTAAATACGTAAAAATCGGGACGGATTTTGATTTAGGGGAACGTGATGTGCGTGCTCGTCATACGTGATGGTTGTCGAATTGAGGGTCGCAAAAATCGTCGGTTTCTCATTAGATGCACACATCCCCTTCCGCGTAAAAGATAATAGCACAAGAAACCGTACGCGGGTTCGGAGGAGAAAAAAAGAAATCGTACGAATACGCGTTTGTGGAAATAGAGATTTTTCGCAGCCGCATTTCAACGCGGATGAAAGCAAGCACACAAGAGAAAGAGAGACTCTGCGAGGTTTATCTCTCCCTGTATATTGTACACTGTAATTACAATTTATACTTACTCGTAATCGATAATTTTATCAATAGGCTATTAATATTAGTAGCTAGCGTAATAAGTCAAGCTCAAATTAGCGAGACGGGAGAGGCGCGAAATATTTTTTTTCCCTCGCGGTTTTGTCGCGTCCCATCTTCGTCATAAATGCACAATTTCTTTTCCTTGATTGTCTCCTTCTTTATGCGCATTATCGTTGCGAGCAGGCCTATCGTACAAGATGTTCATAGAATCTAGAGGCTAGATCAGCTCTTTCTCTCTTTCTCCCCCGCCTTCTCCCACTCTCTCACGTCTCTATTCTTTATTTTTCCATTTGAATATTGAAGGAATATCTCGTTATATATATATATATATATACATATATATTATATATATATATATATATATATATATGCTTTCTATCGGGAAAAGGAGTTACGGAAAGATAATGAGATTCTTTCGGCTGTTAAAAGTAAACAAAGAACGCGACATATCTAGATGATAATATAATTTACGAGGAAGTGCAACACCACTTTTGCCAAATTTCTGCACGTTTGTGTACCTTCAGGTCCCGAATTTCCCTCTCTCTTTTTTTTTACCATAATTTCAGTCTTCGATCTTCGTCGAGCGTATCTTCCTTCTCTCGGATTAAAGGGGTCGTTTCTGTGCAGAAACTGATTCATATTTTTCAAATTTAAATGGCCCATAAAATTTCAAAATATACGAATTAGAGAACAACGTTCATAGAGAGGATCTCTTTTATCCTGACGAACAAACGACGGACGCAGGCGAAGCGAATTCTCGAACCTGAATTCTCATCTCCGCCGATGATTAATTTTTACCCTCGTCGATGAGACCCAGAGCTAATGGAATCGCGCAGTGTAACATAACTCAATGATACGCACCGTACATTATACGTATAATGATTAATTAATGATAAATACCGTAAAGGGATTTTTAAATGAATCTAGATGAATACATGACTACATAATGACACATCTTACAAGCAACATATCCTAGGTATTTGAGCAGGGCGCTGCCGGAGTATCCCTCCCGTTTTTGTCGTACGATTGTACGATCGACACGAGGAAGAGCATATAATTTGATCGACGTCTCGAAACCGAAAACTATTTCGAGCGGACGCGGCAGCGCCGTGCCATTCTTTTCGAATTATTGCAAAAAAAAAAATTAATGAAGGATGTTCCATGACATTAGGACGTTATTATTAATGATATTTCTAGCAACGCGTGCGTGTAAAGTTTAATGTATCTGTATATGAAACATGATGCGTGCCTGCATATATGTGCTGTGTGTGTGTGTATGCGTGTGCGTGCATGACGGATGAGCGAGAAACTCATACCCTTTCTCCACAAATCGGTGAAATCAAGAGCACGAATTAATTAATCGTTGTAAGGTAGCACGAAAACAACAAAAATGACAAATTAAGAAGAAATGCCCAGTGATATTTGGATCGCTGAGAAAAATCGAAACAGCTAAAATTGCCACCTGTTTTTTCCGCTTCTCTCGCAAATGTAAAAAAAAAAGAAAAGAAATCCGCAAAGAGAAACGTCGTTGATATCTTCTGTGTCTCTTTGCGGATTTCCTCTTCGAACCGCGCATAAGCGATTTGTGCGGGCCGACAGTTCAACGCAATAGCGAGCTCGCAAGAGAAATTAATGGAAATCAGTAGAAGAGTAAAAAAAGAAAAGAGGTATAAGAGAGGAAGAATATACGGTCAACTCGATGAACTTTATTTGCAAAATATTGATAGGAATATAAGGTGTGACTCGTGACACCTTTATCATTGTCTGATTTGATGATATTTTGTAAGTCTGGACCAGTTGTTAGGTTCTTATTAATCTCATAGCAACTTCTTATGGCGTATTTTCTCTGTATATTGTCAATGTTTATTATTAAATATTTTTCAAATAAACCGATGTCTCTTTTTTTCGCGCCCTGTCTTTACCCACACAAATTTCGCAAAGATGTAAGATTCACTAATACGCTTTTATAGTTAGAAGCTTGTATTACATTTAGATTTTATTTTTAACAAACCAGATATTTTGCGAAGTATAAAAATATTATCATTTAAATTATAGTTAAATTACGTCAATTTTTGAGAATTTACTTTTTTGAAATCTTTATTTTAATATATGAACTTCATATTTGCACGCTGTAATATTTCGTATCATATTTAAAATGAGAAAAATAATATACATAATATAGATTTAAATATTAATTTTAAAAACTCGTAAATGTTAGAATATAATGATGAAAATATCGATAATGCGGTGAAACAACAAGACTTACAAGTGGAATCATGAAAATTTAATCTAAATAGCAAGACTACTTTCAAGATTTGTTATCTTTAACAAAATATTCGTAATGCTACGTGTATTAATGTTTCTATTGCATTTTAGTACATCCGACAATGAACAGTATCAGAATAACGTAAAATATAAGTAAATGAAAAAGATCTAATAAATTGTTTGCAAAGAATTTTTTTTAATCTATTATTTTATACATTATGCAAAAGATTCGAGAACGTTGGAACAAATGGAATTTATTAAATAACGACGAAGGAATGGAAGTGAATCTCACAGAATTAGAAAGCCGAAACCATTTTAGCAAAATATGTAATAATTCTTTTTTATAAAATTCTATGCGTGATATACTTCTTAACGCATTTTGGCAAAATATTCAACGGCAAACAAGTTAGATTGATGTTACATAATAATTACAAATTATTACAAATAAATAAAAAAAGTGACGAGACGAGCTTATCGATGTTAGACGTTAGATACTTGTGAGAGAATTTCAAATTGTCACATAAATACACATATATTTTCTAAAAATTATTTAGCAAGTTAATTAACAATACATATTTCGATTTTCAAAAACAAACAGATGGTTTCAATTTGTTAAATAATTATATCTCAGTGTAAAGATTGTAGCCGCGTTTTGCGTAAGTTATTTGAAAAAACATTAATATCTATACATTTATATACGTTAATAATTAAATAAATAGAACATTTTAACACTAGATTATAATTAAATAATAACGAGAATTTAATTATGCACCCAGAGACGCTTAAAGATAATTAAAATTAATAATATTGAAGGATAAATTCAGACGGTAAGGTAGGCAAGATTCAAGTTTTATCTTCGACAATATTATATCGTCGAAAATCACGGAAAAATCGCCTCAAATATCAGTAAAGCAGGACAAGCGAGGAGGTGTCGTTGGAGGTATTCTGGGGCGAGATTTTGGCGTCAGAGATTCCCGAGAAAATTACTGCTACTTATTAGGAAAACATATTGAGCGAAGAGGTCGCAGGAGGTATTCCAGGGGCGCTACGGCTATCCCACTCTCGCTCCCCTCCGTAGGCGTCACCGATATTGCCAACCAATGAGATCGCTGGAGAATTCGCGTGGTAGAGGGGGAGACAGCGTCCCCCTCAAATGAATCAACCAATTACTGCGTCGATACAAGGAGGGGAGACGTGAGGGAGACTACACCCACTTTCAGAATACTTCCAACAACCTCCTTGCCTATCCTGTTTTGCGAATATTCGAAGCGATTTTTCCGAGATTTTCGACGACATAAAACCTGATTCCTGCCTAACCTTACTGTTAAAATTGATCTTTTCATTAATTTTAATGATCTTTAGCGTCTCTACGGATGCATAATTAATTTCCGTCATTGTTTAATTATAATCTATCGTTAAAATATTATATTTATTTAATTATATTAATCTATAGTTATTAAGTATTCTTTTAAATAATTCATTCGAACAATAAGACGCAACAATGAATTTTGCACACTTATAATGTCGCTTGCGATATGAAACAATAATAAATATTTATTTGTTTCCTTCGAAAAAATGAAATATATGTCTTATTTTCATATCATAGATTTGTTTCTTTCGAAAAAAATGAAATGTATGTTAACTTCTTTCGAAAAAAATAAAATGTATGTTGGCTTACTTTGTTAATTAACTTGCTAAAAATTTATTAATATGCAGAAAATATTTGTATGTATCAATTCTCTGTAAAAGTTAGATATTTGAGTTCTCTCGATACCTATCTAATTTCTAACCTATCATGTCGATATCATGCGCTTCACCATCTTATTCTTTTAATGATTTATAGAGATATTTCACTTTTTGTTATATAAATAATGCAAAAATATTTGAGCTTTTTATTGTCAATTCTTTTGTTATAATAAAATCATAAGGAAAATTATCAAATTTGATAATATACATATACCTATCATTTAATGAGAAAGATCTATAAATATCTATAATTTCTAAAATATAATATCTATAATTTCTTTTTTTATTGTCGAATCCTATCCAGAAATCATTAATAAACGTATAAAATATGAAGATATTTTCGAAAATTGTCTAATCAAATATCGATACATGGAGCTTCGCTTATCTATTTTGTTTTCGTTTGTGCAATAATATTTCACAATTTTATAGCATTAAAACTCGTGCAGAAAAGCTTCAATAACATTATTAAAATATAAACTATTTCTTAAAAATTATTGTATATAAAATATCTATAATTTAATTTAATTTAATATTTAATATCCTTAACAATTTGTCTCGCAAATATATTTACATACATCAGCGACATATTGAGACAATTAATTGTCAAATCTTTTGCAAAAATATATACTTACCATTAATAATTATAAAACATTGTTAAAAAAAGATATTCTTTAATTATGTTTCAAATCTAATGTCTAAAGATTTGTTTCTTTTGATTATATAAATTTGTATGTAAAGAATTAAGAAAGTTACATAGGTAAATAACAGTTAATGCAGTTCAATA